ATATTTCGTACCGTCACGAATAAAAAAAAAAGAAAAATATTTAAACATTTATCCTTTAAATCCTCTCTTTGCGTATTTTTACAATTTAAACATTAGAGTTATACGATCTGGATTAGAATGTATCTTTAATTTATTTATTTTCAAATTGAGTATACTTCAAGATTTAACGATACTCAAAGGATGGAATCACATTTAGATACATTATTATTATTATTAGCACCGTTCACTTTCCACTTTTCGCGATGGAAGGAGCCATAGTCATAGATTTGATTCGAAGGGCAGAATTGCTTCTTCGATCGTGGAGCGACTTCAAAGGATTCGTTCTCCTTTCCACGAGAAGGCTGCGTTCGTAAATGGTTGGTGGAACGATTACGCAATGGGCTATACGTAACGGTGATGGAATTGTGCTGATTCAATTCGACTTGCCGTCTCCCGTAAAAGGGAGACGCCCCATGTAACATGATTATTATTCGTCAGAATAAAATCTATCCCGATTTGTCAATTACGAAACTCATTTTAATTTACGATCGCGAGTTTTATCGAAAATTCGCTCGGATCGTTCGAACAAATTGAAATATTTCGATTCAATTTTATTTACTCAACTCCATGGAAAATGATTGGGATCTTTTCAGTCTTGTTTCTGTTTCTGAAATCATTAATCTTCCGAATAGTCTTTACGAGATCAAGAACATCTTTTTCATGAGAAGAATATTTAAAGAACAGAAAATTACGAAACAATAAATTAAATTATAATAATAGATTACATAAGAAGATCTTAAATCTATTTTCAATTTATATCTAATAAATTTCTCAAAGAGCGAGATCTTGATAAAAACGTTACATTTTAACATTATTTAAAAAAAAAAATCTTAACAAGTTTTTCTTCTAGAAATCTAACCAGCAATGTAATCATCTCCAATGAAGAGACTTTTTTTTTTATTCCCCTTTTAACGTTAATCTCGCAGTTATCTGACAAGATAGGTTCTCTGATGAAAAAAACCTGGAAGAATGACCTGATTCTCCAAGTTCTCCAAGATCCAAGCAACGATGTAGAAAGGATCCGTGGAAAGAGTTGGAGTAGTTTTATCCAACTATTTACTAGAATTCGACGTTAATTAAATGGAAACGACGTCGGCTATCATTTCTATTGTAACGAGTTGTGAAAGATGGCATATATGGTGTTCGAAATGCGAAAAGGAATCGTAATCTGGTAATTACTTCCGTTTCACGGAGGAAAAAAAAAAAAGAAAGAAAGAAAATTCCAGGCTCCTCTTACCCTCGACGAGAATTAAGATAATTATGGAAATTAATTCTTTTGAAGTCTGGCCTACAGCCATGGTTAGTTAGTCGGTACATTGAAATGGAGAAAAAAAAAAAAAAAAAAAAAAAAAAAAAAAAAAAAAAAAAAAAAAGAAAGAAAAAAAAAAAAGAACGAGAATCGATTCGATGCATTTGCATGATTGGTCGTAACCCACCAGCACGTCTTATACAATTTCTTCCATTATTCGAAAATGCAATTACGAGTGTTTGGATAGGACGAACACCGTTGGATTTCGAGCGTTCAGAAAATCGGGCGAAACGAATTCGAATCCGGATGGTTTCTTTAAATAACCCGAATTTCGAAAGCAAGGAATTAAAGAAGTAAAGGGGAAGGAAGAGTGATGAAAGTTAGAAAGAGTTCGAAGAAAGGATGGGAAAAGAAGAAATTGCGGGAATGTTTGTGTACACGGTATGAGAAAGTTTCTTGATTAACGGCAACCTAATACTTAATACTTATTAACCCGAATACAAATGCCAACAAATTTACTTAAAATAAATTCTTCGGATTCTTTAACGAATACTCCCACTTTATTCAATTCACTCCTATATCTTGGCACTTATTGACTAATTGATCGACAGTCGATTAATTTTTTATTCACTTTTCGAATATAAATAATAAACTCACTCATTTCATCTAAAAACTATTTCCAAGAAATACAAATAACGAAGAAAATATAAAATAAAGTATTTAATCTAAAGTAATTTAAATATACCGCGCAAAAATAAACCCGAAGAGGCAGAGATAGATAGAGAGAGAGAGAGAGAGAGAGCAATTTTTCTCCGCATCGATCGATAAAAGTCGCTTATCTCCGTGCAACCTCGTAACTCTAATCAAAAGTTTTATCTAGCCGGAGGATTAGCGAGGGTGGAAAATCCGCGGAAATACGTGAAGGTTGGAGGGACGTGAGGGTCGAATCGAATCCGTGGCTCGTCGATGCCGCGTGGCAATTAATTCAAAACCATACGTCCGATACAATGGTGAACTATGGGGTCACGTATCCGACCCTTGATGCGACAATGGAACCCGAGAGCCACGCCGGTACACACGTACACGCACGGTGTATCAAGATTTGAATGAGCCAGCTCAGATACACGGGATGCGCCCCCAGTAAAGGTATTACCACCGGGAAACGCATCTCCGGGATTGTCTCGTTGATATGTTAATTAACGTTATTGATGCCGGTGCGGGCGGTGCAGTCGGCTTCGACCTGGGGCTGTCTATTAAATCCGGTTTAATTTCCATTCTCGGTGTCTCTCCTTCGTATATACCATTGTTAACCGGAAGGGGAGAATGGAAAAGTTTAATTGATACGTACGTACTTTTATGAATACTTTCGTTTCATACTTGCGCCCTTTTGCTGCGTTTTTTCTTTTTTCTTTTTTCTTTTTTTTCTTTTTGTACGTTGGCGGTTTAGCGAATAAAAGTTCAATTTGTTCGTTCGTTCGTTGTCATTGAGATAAACGGACGCGTTGCAATCGTGTATTGCCTCGCCATGTTTAATTTTGCGTTTAATTTAAAGAGTAGGATTATTTTTTTGTAAACGTTGGATAATAGTTTCCAACATCTCTTCACTTTGGAACGTTTCACGATATTATGTTATAAATATTAATCAAGTTTTTTATTAACAAGATGTTGTTTACTTATTAGAATACAATTTTTAATTCGCGATATCTCGTTGTACACGTTAAGAGGTTCGAGCGATTGTAATTAATGAAACGCGATCGTTTCCCGCTTTTTATTTATCTCCGTTTCAAGTTTGCGGAAACGTATTGAATTATTCCATTATCATGATTGACGGTTTCATTTCGATTCGCCGCTCGTCAAGTGGATTTCCAGACGATTGGATGAGAATTATTGCCGCGGTAATTAATTAGCAAAAAATTATCGGGATGACATTCATACCTGTTTTTCGGGATGATTTAAAGTATCGCCGCCAGGAAACGCGAAATTTCGATGAAATAATAACACCGAGATTCCGATGGCTGGCCTCGAGCCTCGTTCGATAAAAATACACCTGCGAAATGATTAATTCCTATCTCTCACGCGATCTGTTTAACTAATGCTCGTGAACGACGAAACATAGACTGGAAAACATTGGAAAAAAGAAAAAAAAAAAAAAAAACAAGCAATATCCTAATCTCGTCCAACTGTTATTCGTCGTGTTGTTCGTCATTTGTTATCGTTATTTGTTATAGTTGTATCTCTTTCTAGAAAAGCCATTGCTTTTCTATCTTAAACACATCTTGTTTGCGATTGATGGTTAGTTCGCCATTCCTCTTCTCTTCAAGATTCATCCGAAGATATCATCAAATTTCTCAATTTTTGAGGATATATTAGCAGCGAAACGTTGTCTAACGGAAATCGCAAAGTGATCAGATCTATACTCTGTTTCTTGTATGATATGTGAAATTTGTCGATAAGAAGAATATATTTCCTTCACGATTTATTTCTGATTAAAAAGTATCGCTTTATCTGCAATTCAAAATTTTCGTGTCAGAATGTTATACGGTTAATCCGTGATAGCATCAGAAAGAAATCAATATTACCTCACTAGAAGCTCTTGGACCATTATTAATATAAAAGTTTATGTCACTAGGAAAGATAATTCCTAATGCGTTATACAAAAGAATCGACAAAAACACTAGAGATTATTCCAACGTGTTCATCAGAATTCCTAATAAAAAGAACTCTGTCGAAGAAAAGCCACCGCGAAACTTTTACTTAATTTAAAAATTTCGCAGAAGCAGTTCATTCCATTTTGTTTTTTCGCTACTCTTCGTTGTAAAGAACGTGGGCCATCGACGATTTTATCGTTGCTGCTTTTGCCGATGCGCCGGAAACCATAAACGCGCGAACGGCCGCGAAATGAGAGTACATAAATAAGCGTGTTTTAAAGGGCACGATAGTG